TGACTCAAACCTGCCCCCCCCATGCTGCCCCCCATCTCTGACCCATCCTCCGCCCTGGTCCGGTCCCTGACCGGGTGGATAGATGGGCTCTGACAGAGCCCCACTTCCCCTGTGCCCCCACCCCGCACTTCGCTCCTCCCCGCCCCATTCCCACACCACTCGCTCGCTTTGCATTTTTAATTGACATTGTCTCAGCTACACGGATTTGTACTTAACCTCCTGCCCCCTGGGCCACCCCCCAGCTCCCTGCCCTCCCCCAGCTCCGCCCCCCAGCTCCCCGGCCTCCTCTAGCACCGCCTCCCCCACTCCCAGAACCACCCACCACAGCACCCCCATCACCGCCTCCCCGAAGCCCCCCCTCGCCCAGCGCTGCTGACCCACAGCTAGGGGTGGGGGGGGTCAGTGCTCAGGGAGCCGGGGGACTATGTGGGGCAGTGCTGGGGGGATGTCACAGAGGCGTGTGGTATGGCTGCCCCATTTCTGGGGGACAAAGGTGGGGCCTGTGGGATTTCAGGAGGTTCCTTGGGGGGGCTGCGCATGGGGGGAGGGGATGTCACTTCACCCCTTTTCTAGCCTAGGGTGGGGCGCTCTGAGAGGTTTGGGGACTGCAGGGGGGGTGGAGGGATGCCAGGTGGGGGTGGGGGCTGTCAGACAGGAGAGGACAGAGCTGGGGGGCGGCTGGCAGAGGGGGGAGGAGGCTGCCAGGCGGGGGGGAGGGAATGAGGGGGCTGCCAGGCAGGATCTGGTGTCAGACACGCGAGATGGGGCTCCAGGCTACGAAGAATCGGAGCAAGGCCGGCGCTGCCCAGCTGGAGGGGGACTGGGCAGGGGGGGCGTGCGGAGGGGAAATGAGGGGGGCTGGAGCAGCGGCGGTGCGGGGGATGGTACAGGAGGAAGGAGGTGGGGGGTGATGGGGAAGATGAGGGGTGTTGTGGGGGCAGGGAGGTACAGAGGGGGTGGGTTTGGGCAGGCCCAGGGTGACCCCAAAGCTCCCAGCTGCGCTATGGGGCTGGGGGGGGAGCAGCCTGGACTGGGGCTGGTGCAACCAACTTGGTATCAGCAATGATCCCCCCCTCCCATGACACAGGGGGATCCACCAGCCCCCCCCCCGTCTAACCACTAGGCCGCACTCCCCTCCCAGGTGCTGTTCCATGGGGCTCCAGCCCAGGGAAGAGGAGATTGGGTCGGGGGGGGGGGGGAATTTGTGCGGGTGCCCCTCACTCCCGACCTGCAGCCCCCTGTCTGCCCAGCCCTGCCCCCACCCCCAGCCCTTTCCCTTTCCTACCTGCCCAGGGCTGCGCCCACCTGTCCCATCCCCCGCCCCAGCTCCTGCCCCCCCCATGGGCCTACAGGGCTGGGCAGGCTCCCTCCAATCAGCTATGGGGGGGCCCTGCCTCCACTGCGGGGGGGGACTTGGGGGTCTGAGGACAGTGGGGCTAGGAGAAGACCACCCCCCCACTCCGCTCCCCCCACCACTCTGCCCCCCACCCCCGTGTGTCCCCAGTCCTGAGTGGCTCTGGGGGATCTCTCCAGGCACTGGAGCGTGGGCTGATCGCCCAGGACTGCTCCCCCATCCCCCCGGCCCCCCGGCTCCCCCCGCTCCTCCCCCCGACAACCCCCCCTCAACCCATTGGAGAGAATTAAGTTCAAAGCTGACACTGTGGCTTAGCACAAATGTCACCACACGGCGGCCTGGCCCCCCCCCCCCCGCATCCACCCCCCGCCCAGCGCCCCCCCCGCCTCCCCCCAGCGCCTGGGAACTTTATTTATTTCTCTACGAGCCCACTTGGCAGCCAGACCTGGCACGGAGCTGGGCAGAGATAGCGGGTGCACGGGGGCACCGGGGGGCTCAGAGATAGGGGGTCTGCAGGGGGGCAGAGATAGGGGTGCCTAGTGGGGCACTGCGGGACAGCCAGGGGGGATCAGAGATAGGGGTGTGGAGCTGGTACAATGGGGGGCTAGAGGCTGCCCATGAGGGGACCCCGACTTTGTCCAGGATCGTAGGCGAGGTATGTGGGGCGAGAGCGCCTGGGGGGGGCCAAGGGTGGGCACATTGGGGAGTGGGGGGGCTCGTGGTGCTGGTGGAATGGGGGTCGTGGTGCCGAGGTTGGGGGGGGTCGCAGAGGGTGGGGGGGTTGTGGCACTGAAGAATGGGGGGTATCGGAGAGGCTGAGGGTGTGATAGAGGAATCGGGGGGGCTCCCAGAGCCAGGACAATGGGGGGGTCCCTGGTGCCACATCCCCACAAACCCCCAGGGATTCCTTTCTGGGGGTCCCTGCCCCTCCCTCGTGGTCCTTTCCCAGTTCCCCCCACCTCGTTAGTACAGTTACATCCATGACGGGTGGGTCTGGGCGGCTGCCCCCCAGGGCGGGGGGGGGGATTTTCCATCCTCCCCCCCCCCCCCGTCTCTGCATTTTGTTCCCGTGTTTACTTTGCAGGCGGGTGGACGGTGCTCGCGGCTTTAGTACCCTCGGACCGACCCGATCCCGGCACCGACCCGATCCCGGTACCGACCCGATCCCGGCACCGACCCAATTCCACCGACCCCAACCCAATATCAACACCGGCCCCGATCCTGGCACAGACCTGATCCCACCGGCACCGACCCGATTCCACCGGCCCCGATCCCGGCACCGACCCGATCCCGGTACCGACCCGATCCCAGCACCGACCCAATCCCGGTACCGACCCCAACCCAATATCAACACCGGCCCCGATCCTGGCACAGACCTGATCCCACCGGCACCGACCCGATTCCACCGGCCCCGATCCCGGCACCGACCCGATCCCGGTACCGACCCAATTCCACCGACCCCAACCCAATATCAACCCCGACCCCGATCCTGGCACAGACCTGATCCCACCGGCACCGACCCCGACCCCACCGGTACCAAACCAGTAACTGGCACCAACCGATCCCACCGGGATCCACACACCGGAGCCAGACAGGATCCAAGGTATTTCCACCCATGGACGCAGGCATTCGGGTGGGGCAGGTCATGTGGGCTTCACAGGGGAATAGACCCATACATTGGGGGGGCGGCGCATTTCTGGGTGGGCTGGGGTGTTGGGGGGTGACAGGACACAGAATGGGGAAACTCTCTGCTTTGCCAGTGCCCCTCAATCCCGACCCACAGCCCCCCGCTTCCTCCCCAGCCTTGCCGGTGCCCCCTCGGTCCCGACCCACAGCCCCCCGCTTCCCCCCCAGTTCTGCCGGTGCCCCTCGATCCCGACCCACAGCCCCCCGCTTCCCCCCCAGCTTTGCCAGTGCCCCTCAATCCCAACCCACAGCCCCCCGCTTCCCCCCCAGCTCTGCCGGTGCCCCCTCGGTCCCAACCCACAGCTCCCCGCTTCCCCCCAGCTCTGCCGGTGCCCCCTCGGTCCCGACCCACAGCCCCCCACTTCCCCCCAGCTCTGCCGGTGCCCCCTCGGTCCCGACGCTCAAGCTGTGCTCATGGGGGTTGGGGGGGCCCTCTCAACTGAGTGTTTTCTGGGGACGGGGAGGGACACCCCAACATTGCTAAAGGGCAGCAGAGAGACCCACCCTGAGGGGGGTGAGGGAGGGGATCTGGCAAGGGGGGTGTATGACATGAGAGACAGATGGATCGATGGGGGTGGAGGGATGGATGGAGGGAGATGGATGGAAGTGGCTGGATGAAGGGATGGCCGGCCGGATGGACTGACAGACAGAGATGGACAGATGGACGGTCGAATAGATGCATGGACGGACAGAGACGGACGGATGGATGAACGGACAGATGGATGGACGGACGGACAGAGACGGACGGACAGATATGGACAGATGGATGGATGGACAGAGATGGATGGATGGACGGATGGCTGGCTGGACGGACAGCGACAGACGGATGGACAGATGGATGGACCGACAGACAGAGATGGACAGATGGACGGTCGAATAGATGGATGGATGGACAGAGACGGACGGACGGACGGATGGATGGACAGAGAAGGACGGACGGACAGACGGATGGACGGACAGAGATGGATGGGTGGACAGACAGGGACGGATGGACAGACGGACGGACAGATGGATGGAAGGATGGACGGATGGATGGTTGGACAGACAGAGACGGATGGACAGAAAATGGACGGATGGATGGACAGATGGAAGGATGGACGGACGGACAGAAATGGATGGACAGACGGACGGACTGCCGCTGTCTGGGGCAGCCTGTCTGGTCCCTCTTGTCTCTCCCCAGCCCCACTGCAGGGAGGGGCCAACCACTCTCAACCCAGCCTGGGGGGCTGACCACAGCCCCTTTAGCCCCCGCCTCAGCTCGGTGCCCCCCCAATGGCTCACTGTGACATGGGGGGTGAGGGCTTCATGGAGGCTCCGGGGGGTGTCCAGCAGAATTCACATCCCCACAGAAGCCATCCTCCCCTGTGCCTCAGTTTTCCCCTTTGTGCGCTGGGGCCCAGGGACCAGAGCCTTCCCAGAGGCAGGGATAGCTGGGCCCAGCCCCCTGTACAGAGCTAGAAACCTGAGCCCCCCCCGGCCCCGCGGCCCCCCAGCCCGGCTCCCTTGTGTGTGAGTCACAGACAAGGGGAGTATGCAGCTGGGACCCCGGCTCAGTGGAGCTGTGGGCGGGGGTCAGGGCCGGGCTAGCAGGGGACTGGGGGTCAGGAGTGAGGGGCACTGGCAGGGCTGGGGGGGGCAGGGGCGGGCTAGCAGGGGGCTGCGGGTCGGGAGTGAGGGGCAAAGGAGAAGCCCCCCCCTTCCCCAGTGCCCCCTGCCCCCCGGCACGGCAGCTGCACCCCTGGGGGGGAGAGGGGGGTCCTGTGGAGGACGCCGCAGTGCCTGGGCCCTGCTGATTTCACGGCAGAGACGTCTGCTGCCCACGTCGCCGGCCCCCCCGCGCCCCACCCCAGAGCCAGCTGCATCCCCACTCGCCACCCCAGAGCCAGCCGCATCCCCGCACCCCCGCTCACTGGCTGTGTCTTTCGTCCGGCTCTCTGCAGGCCCCCGGGGCGGCTGCTGCCCCACGTCCCCTGCCTGGGGGGTGACCCCCCGGCCGCCCCCCGCCGCCCCGGCGCCGGTCCATGGGGGCAGATGGGATGTATGAGAAGATCAAGATGCTGAACATTCAGAGCACGGGCTGGGGCGGGCGGCAGGACTGGTACCCGGACGGGCTGGTCCCCGGGCAGCCCAACCCAGGTAGGTGTGGGGCAGGGGCAGGGGAGGGGGGAGCCCTGAACCCTCAGCCTGTTCTCCCCCCCCGCTGCTGGGACCCCCCCCCTGCCTGTGTGCCCCACAGCACCCTGCCCCCACTGCCGGGATCCCCCCCAACCCCCCCCCGGCCTGTGCCCCCCACACCACTCCCCTCCCCCACTGCCTTCCTCTTCCCCTTCCTTCTCCCACCATGCTCCCCCTCCTCCTTCATCCCCCCCCCCCCCGCCGTTGCTGGGGGATGTTTCTCGCTGTGACCCCAGCGGAGCCCCCCCCCCAAAGGATAGTTGAGGGGTGAGGCCAGGCTGGTGATGGGGGCAGAACAGGGGATGGGGGTCAGACCTCCCCCCCCAGCTCTGGCGCTCAGTTCCTGGCCTGTCACCTGCCCGGCGGGGGCTGGGAAGCGTCATGCTGGGGGGGCCGAGCCCAGCCGGGGCTGTCGCTTCGCATCAGGGTGGCAGAGCTGACGGGCGGGTTTGTGTCCCCCGCGGGTCCCGGGTGCAGCACCAGCTGGTGGGCCTGGATACGGGACACGGGCAGCGCCGGGACGGGGGGGCACGGCTGCGATGGGGGGAGCAGCGGGGGGATCTGCGGGGGGACAGAGATGGGGGAGAATGTATCCAGCCTCCCCCAACATCACCGTCCCCCACCTCACTCATGACTCCCAGCCCTGCCCGTGCCCCTCATTCCCGCCCCGCAGCCCCCTGCCAGCCCGGCCCTGCCCCCCCCCAGCCCTGCCGGTGCCCCTCACTCCCGCCCCGCAGCCCCCTGCCAGCCCGGCCCTGCCCCCCCAGCCCTGCTGTGCCCCTCACTCCCGCCCCGCAGCCCCCTGCCAGCCCAGCCCTGCCCCCCCCAGCCCTGCTGTGCCCCTCACTCCCGCCCCGCAGCCCCCTGCCAGCCCGGCCCTGCCCCCCCCAGCCCTGCCGGTGCCCCTCACTCCCGCCCCGCAGCCCCCTGCCAGCCCGGCCCTGCCCCCCAGCCCTGCTGTGCCCCCTCCCGCCCTGCAGCCCCTGCCAGCCCAGCCCTCCCCCCCCAGCCCTGCTGTGCCCCTCACTCCCGCCCCCGCAGACCCCTGCCAGCCCGGCCCTCCCCCCCCCAGCCCTGCCCGTGCCCCCTCACTCCCGCCCCGCAGCCCCCTGCCAGCCCGGCCCTGCCCCCCCAAGCCCTGCCCGTGCCCCCTCACTCCCGCCCCGCAGACCCCTGCCAGCCCGGCCCTGCCCCCCCCAAGCCCTGCCCGTGCCCCTCACTCCCGCCCCGCAGCCCCCTGCCAGCCCGGCCCTGCCCCCCCAAGCCCTGCCCGTGCCCCTCACTCCCGCCCCGCAGCCCCCTGCCAGCCCGGCCCTGCCCCCCCCAGCCCTGCCGGTGCCCCTCACTCCCGCCCTGCAGCCCCCTGCCAGCCCAGCCCTGCCAGTGCCCCTTTTCCCCATGGGCGGGGGGAAGCTAGCCCATAGGGGGGCTCCCCTTCCCACAGACCCTTCCCTGGGAGGGCTGATGCGTCTCCCCACTTCGCACCCCCAGACACCTGCCAGCAGCTGGAGCCCGAGCCCCTTCCCGGGCCCGGGGCCGAGGACCCAGACGACTCGCAGCTCCGGCTGCAGCTGAAACGCAAACTGCAAAGGAACCGAACGTCCTTCAGCCAGGAGCAGATCGAGGCCCTGGAGAAAGGTGATGGGGGGCCGGGAGGGGGGCTGAGCCGGACTCTGGGGCGTCACGGGTCAGGGGCTGTCAGGGGTGTCTCGGATCCACAGACAAAATAGTATGAACAATAATCCCACTTTGTCACTCTTGGGTGTATCCGGGGGGCTGGAGACGTGGGGGGACTGGGCATGTCCAGGTGTCCCGGGCTGGGGGCTCGGGAACCGCTTGGAGCCGGGCCGGGCAGGATTGGGGGGCAGCGTCTCCCCTCGGGGCGCCCTCCCACCAGGGCCAGGAGCCTGCTCGGCTTTGGTGCCTCCTGGGTCTGACCGCGGCGCATCCAGCACCCCGTGAGCTCCCCGTGGTGAGCCCACCCCGATGGGACCCCTGGGGAAGCCTCACCCTGCCCCCAAAGGGCCCTGCCCCCCAACCCCGCAGCCAGCCGGGACTCCCAGCCAGCGGGTAACACAGCGTGGGGCAGAGCTGGTGAGCACGGACAGCAAAGTCCATCTTAGGGGGACCCAGAGCATGGAGCCCTGGACTCCCCCCCCACACAAGTCCCAAACCAGGAGACTGACCCCCCACTTCCTGCGATTCACCGGGGCTCTCAGCCAGCCAGGAACACAGAAGGGCTGTTAGCCGACGGGAGCATGGTCTAAACCAGAGCTGGTAGGTACAGAGACCAGGACCCCTCAGTCAGGTCCCTCTGGGGGGCTGGGGAACCCAGACCCCAGTTCTGGGCCTCCCCACCAGCCAGCCCCGAACTGAAACCCCTTCCCACTGCCTCCCCCAGCCACCCCCCCAGCCCCTCCTCCAGCCTTTGTCCAGTGTCCCGGGCAGAAGGTGTTACCTGGCCCCAGCCCCCTGCTGGGCTCAGGTCCCCTGCTCCCCAGGGAAGCCCCCCCGGTACCCCCCCACCATCAGTACCAATGCAGCTGGTAAAGGAGCGAAACGCCCCTGCAACATTCCCAGGTTAATACTCCCCACCCCATCACCCACCTGCCCACTAGGGGTCGCTGCAGCGCTCACACCCCCCTTATCCCACCACCTAGACACACTGGGGAAACTGAGGCACCACTGTCGTTCTGGGCTCGGCTGCTCCCAAACCCGGGTCTTACTGTGAGAGTTCAGCATCCTCTGACCTCCTGGGGGCCATTTAGGGATCTGGGTCAAAAAATGGGGAGCGAGTTGCACCCAGTCCGTGACTCTGAGCCAGCAGTAAAACAGAAGGTTATTAGGGGAATAAAACAGAGTTGAGGTGCAGAGAACGGGACCTCAGCTGGGTCCATTCTGGGGGCAGTGAGCCAGACAACCAGTCTGCACTTCACTCCATGTCCCAGCCACTTCCAAACTGAAACCCCCCCCCCCCCCCCCCCCCGTTTTTTCCCTCCCCCGTCCCTGATATTCTTTGTTCTCCAACCCTTCCGCTCTCCCCCTGGAGGGGGGGGGGGGCCCGGCATCAGTTGCAGGAAAAGGGTTCGGCCATTCTCTTGTCCAGACCCTGCACACACCTGCTCTAGGGCTCTGCAATGATCTGACCCTTACCCCCCAGAACTTAAGAACTGCCTAGGGGAAATGAACCCACACTAAGAGGAAACATTAAGAACAGTCCCACTGTCACACACACGTAACGAGCAAACGTTAAGAACTTTCCCAATTTGTCACACCGGGGTACTGGAGATGTGGGGGGACCCAGGGAGCCCTGGGCGTATCCAGGGGGGCTGGCGATTGGACCTGGGGAGCCCTGGGCGTATCTGGGGGGCTGGCGTTGCGGGGGGACCTGGGGAGCCCTGGGCGTCCAGGGGGTGGGCTGCGGGGGGGGGGCTCAGGGGGCTGGTGATGCGGGGGGACCTGGGGAGCCCTGGGGGGGCGTATCGGGGGGGACCTGGGGGGCCCTGGGATAGGGGTGGCGATGGGGGGACCAGGGAGCGCCGGGGGGGCGGGGATCCAGGGGGCCCTGGGGGGTGGATGCGGGGGGACCTGGGGAGCCCTGGGCGTATCTGGGGGGCTGGCGATGCGGGGGGACCAGGGAGCCCTGGGTTCCATGTGCACAGGAGGCTCCGAGGGCAGCACTTGGTGGGGGGCACTGGGGTTTTGAGGGTGCCGAGGGGGCTCTAGGGATACGGGGGCCTGGCGGGGGGGCCTGTCTCTGACTGTGCTGCCCCCCCATGCAGAGTTTGAACGCACTCACTACCCCGACGTCTTTGCCCGCGAGCGCCTGGCTGCCAAGATTGACCTGCCCGAGGCCCGGATCCAGGTGAGGGAGACCCCCCCCATGTCCCCTCAGGGCCCTCCTACCCCAAGGGAGACCCCTCAAACCCAGGGACACCCCCGATCCCCAGAGGTGTCCCAAGAGACCCCCCCGCCAGAGGGACACCTTTGCCCCGAAGGAGACCCCCTGGCTCCAGGGTTAACCCCTCAGCCCCCAGTGGGGAGACCCTTGGCACAGCCCCATGGGGAAACCCCGCACTCCAAGGGAGATCTCCGACCCCGCAACGGGGACCCCCATTCACCACCCCGAGGGAACCCCCCCACAGGCCCCCTGACACCTGCCCCCCCCCCCGCAGGTCTGGTTCTCCAACCGACGGGCCAAGTGGCGGCGTGAGGAGAAGCTACGGAACCAGCGACGCCAGGCGGGCGGGTCCGGGCACCTGGGCATGGGCAGCGGGGCCTTCCCTGGCAGCGGGGCCTTCCCGGCCGCACCCCCCACCGGCTCAGGTACCCCCCGCTGCCCCCTGGCATCCCCCCACTGCCCTCCATCCCCCCTGCCCCCGGTACCCCCCAGTACCCCCCATCCCCACTGACACCCAGGTACCCCCCAGTGCCCCCCACCCCCACTGCCCCCTGGTACCCCCTCTACTGCCCCCATCCCCACTGCCTCCTGCCCCCCCCGCCCTCCTGTCCCCATCCATACCGTCTGCTGGATCAGGGGTCTCCCATGGCTCCCTCAGCCCCTCCACCCCCACCCCCACACACCCCAATCTGTGCTACCACTTGCCAGATCAAGTACCGCCCCCCCCCCCACCAGTCGCCAGGCTGCAGAGTGTCGGCCGGTCTCCGTGCCCAGGCGGCCGGGCAGCAATATCCCACCTGCCCTCTAGGGGTCGCTGCAGCGCTCACACCTCCTCGTCCCACCACCAAGATACTTGAGTAACACACAGGGGAAACTGAGGCACGCAGCATAAAACACTAAGAATGGTCCCGCTGTGTGCCTACCCCAACCCACCCCCACCAAAACACCCCCCCAAGGGACGCCATATCCACCCCTGGCCGGTGGATGACTGTCCTCTCCCGCCAGGTGCCATGCTGGGGCGCAGTGACGGCCCCCTCCCCAACAGCTACGGAGCCCTCCCACCCCTGCCCAGCTTCTCCATGGCCAACAGCCTCCCTATGCAGGTGAGGGGGGTTGGGACCTGCTGGGGAGGGTGCATGGAGAGGGCCTGGGGGGGTACGTGGGGTTGATGTGGGGTGTGGGGGCTCAGCCTGGGGGAGGTCTGTGGGGAGGAGAGCTTGGCCTGGGAGGGATCCATGGGGTTGGTGTGGGGGGGGCTCAGCCCAGGGAAGGGGTATGTGGGGTCCGCATGGGTGGAGGACTTGGTTTGTGGGGGTTACGTGGGGTCGGTGGGGGGGGGCTCAGCCTGGAGGAGTAAGTGGGGGGGGTCCCGGCCTGAGGGGTGGGGTTGGTGTGGGGGGGGCCTCAACCCAGGGGGGTACATGGGGTCAGTGTGAGGGGGGACTCAGCCTGGGGGAGTATGTGGGGTTGGTGTGGGGGAGGCTCAGCCCAGAGGGGTTTACGGGGGGGTTAGGGGGGGTCTCAGACCGGGGGGGTTACAGGGGGCTCAGCAAAGGTGTCTCACAGCCCCGCCCCCCCGCAGGCTGTCCAGCCGGTCGCCAGCCAGGGCACCTCGTCCTTCTCCTGCATGATCCCGGGCGGCTCCGCGGGGCGCGGCTACGACCCCTACGGCCCGGCCCAGCTCCCGGCCCACATGGGCAGCCCCAGCCTGGGCACCGGCTCCAGCACCTCCACCGGTGAGGGGGGGCACCCCCGGGGCAAAGCATCGTGGGAGCAGGGCTAACACCAGGGGCGGGCAAAGGATTCTGGGAGCAACGTCAACGCTTTGTTTTACCCCCCACCCACTGGGGCCACCCCCAAGGCATTATGGGATTAGTGGGTGATGGGCATTGGTCTCTTATACATCCCCAGGCCTGGTGCTGCCCATATGGACCAGCTGCCCCTGGGCAGAGACTCTGCAGCCTGTCATGGCCCATATGGACCAGCTGCCCCTGGGCAGAGACTCTGCAGCCTGGCATGGCCCATATGGACCAGCTGCCCCTGGGCAGAGACTCTGCAGCCTGGCATGGCCCATATGGACCAGCTGCCCCTGGGCAGAGACTCTGCAGCCTTGCACATCCCGTGTGGACCAGCTGCCCCTGGGCAGAGATTCTGCAGCCTGGCACGGCCCATGTGCACCAGCTGCCCCTGGGCACAGACTCTGCAGCCTGGCACGGCCCGTGTGGACCAGCTGCCTTTGGGCAGAGACTCTGCAGCCTGGCACGGCCCATATGGACCAGCTGCCCCTGGGAACAGGCTCCGTGGCCTGGCACGGCCTGTACGGACCAGCTGCCCCTGGGCAGAGACTCTGCAGCCTGGCACGGCCCATATGGACCAGGTGCCCCTGGGCACAGGCTCCGTGGCCTGGCACGGCCCGTGTGGACCAGCTGCCCCTGGGCACAGGCTCCACGACCTGTCACAGCCCATATGGACCAGCTGCCCCTGGGCACAGGCTCTGCGGCAGGTGGGTCCTTGGGGGCTCTCTCCTGCCCGCCTAACACCCCGTCTCTCTCTGCCCCCAGGTCTCATCTCCCCCGGCGTGTCGGTCCCTGTGCAGGTCCCTGGCGGGGACCCGGAGCTCCCTCAATATTGGCCCCGTCTGTAATGATGGGAGAAAACAGATCCTTCCCGGGGGGAGCAGGGCGGGGGCCGTGCCCGCCCCCTTAGGGGGGCAGAACCCATGGCTGGGGTTGGGGGTGGTGTGGGGATTCCCCCAGCTGCCCAGGGTAAGCCCTAGCCAGGAAGGGGGAGCCTTCTGCCCCCCCCAGTCTGGGGGAGCCCCCTGCCCCCCCAATCCCCAGTCACCCCCTCCCATTCCTGCATGTCGGAGTTTGTCTATTAGAGACGCTGTGACCCACTGTGGCGTGTGTTGGGGGGGTACAACCCCCCCCATTACCGAGCCCTTCCCCATGTCCGCCTCCCCTCCCCCTGGGGGGATTTGGGGCACCCCCCTGTCTAGTGTTCCCCTCCCCTCACCCCCAGAGAGGGGGGGCAGTAAAGTACCAGGGGGAGCTGGCAAAGGATGCTGGGAGAAGCGCTCAGGCCTCGCAAAGGATGCTGGGAGACACGTCAACTCGGCCAGGCTGGCAAAGGATTCTGGGAAATGTGCCAGCTCCTTGTCCTCCTGGGGCATGATGGGATAGTGGGCGACCCCCCCCCACAGACCCATCACGAGGGGAGAGGGGGCTGTCTGCCCCCCCAGCCCCGCTCACCCCCAGAACTTTCCCTGCAGGGATGGACCCATCTGGGGCTGATAGATCCTGGGGGATGGGGGAGAAAGGCCACATTCTCCCCCCGCCCCAACCCCTGACCTGTCCCCCCCCCAGCCCCCTGACACCCCCCCTTGACCTCCCTCTGAGGCCCCCACTGTGGTAGGTTGCCTGGTGTGTCAATAAAGGCCGTCTGTAAATAACAACAGGCCTCCGTTGTCCGTCTGTCCGGCTGGCTGTGTGGGAAAGGACCCCCCCGCCCCCCGCGCCCACCATCAGAGCCTCGGGCCCCTCCGCCTCCCAGCCGGGGAGACCCTACAATAAACACCCCAGCCGGCAGCAAGCCCCGGGAGCGCCCGGCTGCCTCCGGAAACGGCTTCTGGCTGTCAACAAGGGCGGGGGGGGGGGGCCGGGGGCCTGCGGAGGAAACACCTGGGGCATCCGGGGTGGGGGGTGGCTCTGCTCCCCCCCACAGCTATTCCTGCGCTAGTGTCACCCCCCCTTCAGCAGCCAGGGGGGTGCTGTGGGGAACGGGGAGGGGGGGCTCCTGGCTACTCCAGCTCTGGCTTCCCCCAGCAGGGGGCGCTGTGGGGTGGGGAGGACACCAGGTGTGTGTGTGGGGGGCAGATACCCCCTGCCCCCTCATCCCAGCCCCTTAGTCCCACTCGACCCCCAGCCTGGCTGCCCCAGACCACCCGCACTGCCCCCCTCCATCTGCTGTCCCCATCCCCCTGCTGCCCCAGACCGCCCCCACTGCCCCCCTCCATCCGGTGTCCCCCCATCCCCCCCACTTCCCCCCTCCATCCGCTGTCCCTCCTTCTCCCGCTGCTCCCCTCCATCCGCTGTCCCCCTCCTCCTGCCCCCCGCCCAGCAGCACTGCAGCAGAGCTGGTGACAGGGAGCCGGATGCAGCCCCCAGGGTGATGGGGGCGTGGGGGGGGCAGGGGGGGGTGTCAGGACAGATCAGCGTCAGGCCGACATTAAGGGGCCAGGCAGGGCCGGGTGGGAAGATCTGGGCTGGATTCAGCACTGGGGGGACGGGAGCTGAGGTGGAGACAGCAGGGGGGACCCCCCTAAATCCAGCATCCCCCAATGCCCCCCAGCACAGAGTCCACACCCCACTGCCCCCCATTCCCTCCACCTTGTTGGGACCCCACCCCACTCTCCTCCAGCCCTAGTGACACTGCAGGACACAGCTGTGGGGGTGTCCCTGATAAATTCCCAGCTCCTGGAGTCCCAGGAGGCAGTGAGGACCAGCCCCGTCCCCCCGTCCCCCCAAACCTGGCTGCTGCCCCACAGACCTGGGGGAGAATCTAGGTGGTTTGGGGCCTGATTTAGGGTTTTGGAATATTTGGGGCAAAACTACTGCCCTGGCCTGCCCCTCTACTGACCCCCACATCCACTGACCCCTGGCACCTACTGCCCCCTGACCCCCACATCCACTGCCCCTTGCCCCCTCATGCCCCCCCCCAATCCCCTGTGGGTCAGTGTCTCTCTTGCCTGGTCAGGTCGCATCAGCGCTGGGGCATGGGGAGCCCAGGGCGAGGGGCTGGGGCCGAGGGGGGGTCCTTAAAGTGACTTTGCCCCCCTGCACCCCGCCAGCTGAGGGGTGTACGGCAGGCATCCAGGCTGGAATGGGGGGTGCAGAGCGGGGGGGTCCAAGTTGGGATCAGGGTGCAGGGTCCAGGCTAGGCCAGGCTGGGGGTGCAGGGTGTGGGGTGGCCTGGGATGGGGGACTGGAGTGTGAAGGAGGGGATCTAAAGAGGATTCTGGACTTGAAGGTGTGGGACAGAGTGCCCCCCCCCAGCCCTGCCGGTGCTCCTCACTCCCAACCCGCAGCCCCCTTCCAGCCCAACCCTGCCCCCCCCCAGCCCTGCCGGAGCCCCTCACTCCCGACCCGCAGCCCCCTTCCAGCCCAGCCCTGCCCCACCCCAGCCCTGCCGGTGCCCCTCACTCCCGACCCGCAGCCCCTCTGTAGTTGAGGTTTGTGACCCTGCAGCGCCCCCACCCCCCTGCCCAGCTGTTTTGTTATTAACCCTTTCGGGGTGCGGCTGCCTCTCGGTTCCTGTTGCCGTTGTCCCCCTCCACCCCCAACGTGAGAACCAGAGACCCACCCACCCGTCCCCCACCCCTGATACCTTCCCTGCGGGAGGATGTGGTCGGGAGGGCATGGCAAAGGCTGGGGGGCACCTGAGGGGTGTGTGCTCCCTGGGGGCTGAGGACGCAGGGGGCTTAACAAAGAGGTGGGACATGGGGAGCCCCGGGCTCCCCCCACAAGTTCTGCCAGTGCCCCTCACTCCCGACCTGCAGCCCCCTGCTAGCCCGGCCCTGGGCCCCCCCAAGCCCTGTTGGTGCCCCTCACTCCCGACCCCCAGCCCCCTGCTAGCCCAGCCCTGGGCGCCCCCCACCCCCAGCCCTGCCGGTGCCCCTCACTCCCGACCCCCAGCCCCCTGCTAGCCCAGCCCTGGGCCCCCCCCACCCCCAGCCCTGCCGGTGCCCCTCACTCCCGACCCCCAGCCCCCTGCTAGCCCAGCCCTGGGCCCCCCCACCCCCAGCCCTGCCGGTGCCCCTCACTCCCGACCCGCAGCCCCCTGCTAGCCCGGCCCTGGGCCCCCCCAAGCCCTGTTGGTGCCCCTCACTCCTGAGCCCCAGCCCCCTGCTAGCCCAGCCCTGGGCCCCCCCACCCCCAGCCCTGCCGGTGCCCCTCACTCCCGACCCACAGCCCCCTGCTAGCCCAGCCCTGGGCCCCCCCACCTCCAGCCCTGCCGGTGCCCCTCACTCCCGACCCGCAGCCCCCTGCTAGCCCGGCCCTGGGCCCCCCCAAGCCCTGTTGGTGCCCCTCACTCCTGACCCCCAGCCCCCTGCTAGCCCAGCCCTGGGCCCCCCCAGCCCTGCCAGTGCCCCTCACTCCCGACCCGCAGCCCCCTGCTAGCCCAGCCCTGGGCCCCCCCAGCCCTGCCGGTGCCCCTCACTCCCGACCCACAGCCCCCAGCCAGCCCCACCCTGGGCTCCCCCCGGCCCTGCCGGTGCCCCTCACTCCCGACCCGCAGCCCCCAGCCAGCCCCGCCCTGGGCTCCCCACACACACAGCTGAGGGGGGATCTACCTGAACAAGTTGGGCCTGGGGGGTGGGGGCTGTGAGCTGTGGGGTAGACACCCAAGCCAGCTGCAGCCTGTTTCCTACCTCTGTCTCCCAGCCCCAGGGCACCACTGTTGCCCCATCCCTGAGCTAGGGGGCCAGGCTATCCCCGCAGGAGCCAGAGACTCCTGGCTATGAAGAGGAGCAGGGAGGGAGCGGGGGAAGGGAGCCAGGACTCCTGGCTTCTTTCCCTGGCTCTGGGAGGGGAGTGGGGTCTAGTAGTGAGAGCAGGGGGGAGGGGCTGAGAGCCAGGACTCCTGGGTTCTCCGTGCCTCAGTTTCCCCTCCGGGTGCCACCAGCGAGGCTGCGTGCGCGTATCTCTCTCTCGCCTCCCCCCGCCCCGTCTCTTCCTGTTTATGAGGCTGGAGCCCGGTTCTCGGCGCTCGCTTCCCCCCGGGCCGGAAGCGGCACTTCCCGCCGCGCCCCATTGGCTGCGGGGCCCGGGGGGGGTTTAAAGGCTGAGCCTGACGCGGGGCTGGGGGGAGATGCGGGACGCAGACGGGACGCGAGCGGCCAAGGGTAAGTGGTGGCTGGTGTTACTCGGACGCCTGGGTTCTCTGGGTCCTCCCACAGACCCCCCCCCGGCCCGGAGCCAGGGAAAGAACCCAGGAGTCCTGGCTCCCTGATACAATATCCGCGCCCTGCTCTAACCACTCGTCCCCCATCCTCGGCTAGACCTGGGATCGGACCGAGGAGTCTTGGCTCCCAGCACCCCCCTGCTCTAACCACTAGACCCCACTCCCCTCCCAGAGTCAGGGAGAGAGCTCAGGAGTCCTGGCTCCCAGCCCCCTGCTCTAACCACTAGACCCCACTCCTTTCCCAGAGCCTGGGAGAGGACCCAGGAGTCCTGGCTCCCTGAGACAATCCCACCCCATGTGCTCTAACCACTAGACCCCACTCCTTTCCCAGAGCTATGGAGAAAACCCAGGGTGGGTTTTGGGGGGGGGGGAAGTGGCTGAGGACTCTGGGTGCTGAGATACAGTGGTGGGGAGACCCATGCTGCCCTCTAGGGGTGCACCCATTTGGGGGCCCTGGGTTATTCACTCCTGGGAGGGGTGCAGGGGACCCAGGGCCCGTGTAGATCTGCCAAGGAACCTAGTATTACTAGGCAGAGGGGGTGGGGGTCATTACCAGTAATAGGGACAAGGATCCATCTGGCTGAGCCCCGACCTGGTGCCATCTGTTGTGGCTGTTCACACGGGGAACTCCTCGGGGCAGGACTGCAGGACTGTACAGTGCCTAGCGTGATGGGGGCCCTGACCTTGACTGGGGGGGTGTCTGTGCAGTAGGAGGTGGGGGGGTGAGCCCTTCTGTTCCCTGGGGCCCCTGTCCTTGCAGGGCCCCATGTCCCAGGTGCAGGGGCTGTGCCTTGCTCCCCCCAGAAGTGGCCTGACCCAGGCCTGCTCCATCCTCCTCCCTAGGGTTCCTGGGGGTTTTGTGGGGGGGCCTGTGGGAAAGAATAGAGCGGAAGGTGGGTGGCATTAAAGGCCAGAATGGTCGGGTGGGAGGCGGGGGGGGCAGAGTGTCACTGGGGGGCCACAGCGCAGCTCAGATGGTGGAGCGGGGACTGGATTTTGCTTCTGGTTCTCTGGGGCCTGCCTGGCATTGGGGTTGGGGGGCAATTGCCCCCCCACTGTTATCTGCCCTCCACAATTCTCCAGTGTCTCCCTGCCCCCCCAGGAGTCCTCTCCCCTCTTCCCCACCCCCGTGAGATTCTGCTTCGGAAACCGACACGGAACCGAAACAGACATGAAAAAGGGAAGGAACTTGGGGGGGGGGGGGAAGAGTCTCAACCCCTCCCAGCCAGATAGGGAATCCTGGGGGGCTGGACCTCCGAAGGGATCCCCCAACCCTCTGCTTGATTTTTCCCCCCTGCATCTCCCCTGCCCCGTCTGACTCCAGCCCC